AAAAAATTGAACAATTTAGGAGGGAGGGGAAGGGCGGGCCGGCAGGCTCCCCCTGCATCCAACACTGGGTGCTTTCGCAGATTAAAGATGTATAGCACCGTAGCCCGAAAATATGGCACCTCTAGATGGCCGGAAATTGCACTCTTAGACTTAAAATTTGAATATAATTTTCTTTATATCTCCAATGTTTGAACAATTTAGGCCTCCACCCCCTTGAATCTGCCACTGATTTCCAAACAAAATTCAAGATTGCTTCCACGATCTCAAAGATGATTATTTATCATGAGGAATACCGGCATTCTTGATATGGGTATTCCCCGAAAAACCTTCACTTTTCCCCCGATGAATAAAAATTACCCTACTATAGTAGCCCTGAAATGATACTCCAACTGTGGCGCGTCCAGGAAGTCGAAATGTAGGGGACCCAGGGAGGGTTTTGCGTAAAGAGAATGTCCACCCACCTCAGTCCCACAACGGTTGAGACTGAGGTAAGCATAAAAATATGAGTATGGCACCTCTAGATGGCCGGAAATGGCACTCTCAGATTGAAAATTGAATAAAATGTTGTCTGTTGTCTCCATTTAAAAAAAATCTTATTGTTTTCGTTAGATTAGATGGAGTTTAAATGTGGTTATATTACGATAGTTTGAAGGTTTACAGTAAGCCAATCAGTTACACTTACATCTTCATGGTTAGCATAAAGAGAACTATAAGAGCGTCGCTCCATAAAGAGTGCCTACCTCTATCCTATGCCTAAATACAGAATTCACGAAGGCGGGCGATTCCATTCTTTTTTTCTTCATGCTCGCTGGTGTGTGTCAAGGAAACTTGCTCAACTCAAAAAGGGAACTTGTAATGTAAAATGAAGGGAATCTATATTTTATAATAATAATAATAATAATAATAATAATAATAATAATAATAATAATAATAATAATAGGCTCTAATAATAATAATAATAACAATAATGGCATTGCAGCGTTCGTAAATTTTTTGTCACAAATGTTCGTAAAATTTTTGTCAAAAGAGGCTGTGGGCAGCCCCCCCCCCAAACTAAAAATGTGAGGGGAAAATTCCACTCCCCCGCTTCCGCCACGTTAGCCTATGTTTGATAACAAATTATCTCGAATACAGGTAAAATGTATTTAAAATTAGAAGAAATTGGTTTCATTAAAATATAACAACGATCATAAAGTAACTTGAGTCATTAGAGGGTACAGTATTAATACGTGAATAGGCCTACTTAAGCCACTGATGCGTTACTAAAGATTGATCAGTAGGCCTGTCACGCCAAAATTGGTCCGGGCCCAAAAAAAAAATGTCCGGTGGACAAATTTTGGCCGCTAAAATCGGTCCCCCTTGGATAAAATTGGTCCGTCGGCCTGGTCGCTTGTAACGCGTCTGTTGCCCGTAGGATATGATTGTTTCTCCTGGAGTGGAGGGAAGTATTTTATGCTTCTCCCACACTAGAAAAATATTTTGCAGCTTTGCAGTGACAGAATAATTCGTATGAAGCTTTTGTGGACGGTTTTTTTTTTTTTTTTTTTTATCAAACACACATAACAATGTATTTCCTAGGCCTAGGCGACACACAGCATAGGCCACATCATTTTTGGCGGTTTACTAGACTGATTTATTAGTTTTTAATAGTCCATTATTGTGTGGGGTATTAGGTCATACAATAGTTGTTCTCTTACATGAAAATAAAGGGATCAATAATTTTTTTGAAATGATTGCTCATGCATTTCGTCGCGGCGTTAACCAAGCACACAACCAAAACAAAACAAAATAAAAAAATAAGCTACAGCGGACCAACACGATTTACGATAATATAATTAACTTCTTTTCTAACTTTTACGCCAAAGAGTTTACTGGAAGCGAAGAGCGAAAATAACATACTAATTTTTTTTGTGGCTGTATACTCAATTGCACACGCAACGAATGAAAAAAATATTATATGAGAGATGAAATATTTATCCATCATTTGATTAAAAACAAATATGAACAACGCTAAAAAAAAAATACAGGTTATAACTACAAAATAGATGCCGGACCGATTTTGGCTTATGTGGACTACATTTGGCAGGTAATTTTAGGCAAAATCGGTCTGGCGGACAGATTGTGGCACCGGACCAAATTTTTCGTAACAGGCCTATGCCTATTCATTTTTTGTTTGTTTGAGTAATGAAATCAAATAAGCTGTGTACATAGTCTTGTCCATTTGCTCAAAATGAACATTGGAACTCCCGAATCTCTCAGGTTCGTAACTATGCAATACTTGTCGGGTACCACATTTGACATCTATAAATTATGCTCAAAATAGAAAGTACAAATATTTAAGCATTTGGTTTCATATGCAGTACAACATTATCCAAGCACGGTACTGAACGCATAAACTATCCCAGACACGGAACAGAAGATTGTCTCCACGTGTACTGTACTTCTGATTATAAGATATATAACATATTATAACGCCGATTTCATAAATATAGACCTAACTGTTCGTGTACACCGTTCATGTCATTTAAGTTTACAGATTCTTGTTATTACACAGATACCATTACAAATTACAAAAAATTAGTCACAAAAAGCAATTAATTTTATTAAAAGAGGTTGCACATTAAATAATTAACAATTACAAAAAATACAATTACAATAAACTTGATTGACTATAGGCCTGTACAAACTTTACTAAATACAATAAAATATGTTATTTACAATAATAATACTATAAAAATAGATGTAAATATGTAAAATATGTCACAACCGACACATTTGGCACACAAAATAAAAGAAAAAACAAAGAAAAAAAAACAAACACAAAAAAACACTCATAGCTATTCACGTATTTCCCTAAGTTCAGGGATGTTACCAGTTGGGAAGCCCCTCCCCGTCGAAAAAATCTGTCCACCCTAACCCCACGTTCGCAGAGAAAAACCACAATTAGTTGCGGTGAATAAATTGTAGGCCAATGTATTTTCTACATTATTAGATTCTAAATTCGATTAAATAAGCCATTAAAACCCCTAAATTGTCATATTTTTCGAGGGCTGTGTCCCCTGGTCCACTTTCGAAAGAGTTTGACCGACGCTCGACCACGTTCACTTTGCCCTCGCCGGGGACATCTCCCCTGTTGTTGGGGACGTCAGACTCCACCCCGCCCTACCGTCGGTCAAATCCTAGCGCCATTCCTGCCTCAGTTTGACTACAGTAGTAAGCATAATGTATAGATTGCCACATTCTGAGCTTTTAAAATCGAGTTAGAACTACTGCAAAGACCAAGCCATTTTGAAAAGGGTCTATAATTGGCTATGTGCAGACAAGGCAAATTCAAGAAAATTGCTCTATTTCATCGAAGACGATCCAAAAGCCAATCTTTCTATGTTACTGATTTGGTCTCATAACATCAGGTTCATCGTTTTAGGTCGTCACTAGCTCTGATTCGTCTACCTATAGTTTCATAGAGCCTTAATAAGCCTAAGATAGTATAATACATACTCCAACTATTGGAATGCACGCCATCGTGTCGGGATTCAATATTTCCACATTAATTTAGGAATAGGCCTATGCCTAAAGAAAAACATTTTTTATTTCTCAGCGCCACATCTTTGGAACAGCATTCTAAAATACATCAAACACGTTGTGAAGTCCATTGTTACCTTTCAACATAATATTTTAAGTAAAACATATATCTTTTTAAAACATCAACTGTATTTGCGTCTTATCGGGGCCCTAACTTTGTTAACATCTCTACGTACCCGATCGTTAGTGGCCCCCTAGGGCGTGAGGGATATTTTCGCTAGTTGTATTATTACTCAGTTATCTCAAGAAACAAAGTATTCGATTAATCAATAGTCTGTTTATGATGTATCCAATCAAATAGTAACTAGGCGTGCGGCATGAAACGTTTCAGGAATGATTGTCACAGCATGGCTGTACAGAGAGACACAGAACGATTGTACAAAAATATACTTTTTAAAATAAATTAAAAGTTCCCTTAATAAAAAAAAAAAAAGATATAAAAAGATATTGCAATTCGGTTACTTAAGATGATATAGTACTGTAGTTCATTCTGTCTGCTATTAGCTGTCTGTTTTTGCGGTAATACTTCCTTTTGTAGTTTGTTTCCTTCAGTATTTCGGACTATAAATCCTCCGATTATGGTCAATACTTTAAGTTCTTCCTTGTTTATCGTAACTAGATATCACACAGTTTAACTTTTCATTTTCTATTCTAAGCCTTGTAAGATATGCGCTATATAATGTGTCCTTACCGTCACACACTTCCAGCCCTTTAAGTACGGTAATGCAGCTACTGTGCAATGGAACATACACATTTCTTTTTATATTTACAATACAATCTTCAATCAGTTTTGATTTTTGGTAGCTTATAGGTTTTTTTTAAGCAGCCCTTGTCCGTCTACCATTGGGAGGAGACACCCCTTTCCTACCCAGGCATCCTATATATACAGTAGATAATGGTTATTAAATCAAACGTTATAATAGACCTATACAGTAAAATTATACACCGTATAATTACCAAAAATAATTGCATACGTTGGGTCTAGAATTTCTGTTCGAAGTATTGCTGACCATGAAGTAAAGCAGAACATAGGCCTAAACAACCCCCTTACAGAACACACTCTCAAGATGAGCTTCGATTTTTATATATCTCCGTGATTTTTCCGAGATGATGTCTGAATGTCAATGATCATCAACCAATCGATACTTTAATTCAAGAATAGAAGACTCATTTCCTAAATTATGTCCCTGGCGCATTCACACTAGAGCAATTCAATTTGTTTTTACACTTGAAGCAAACGACAATGTTGTAACAATAACGAGAATGAGTTACGACTAATTAAAACGTTTGTTAATAAGTCAACGCCGTGTGTTGAATTGAATAGGCCACATGCAGGTGCATCTCATAATATGTCCTTCGAACTTAAAATCATAGGAGAATAGTAATTCAGTTGCATAATAAAAACAAAATAACTCGATGTGTGGTCATTACTTCTTAGCCGATATACACGCGTTGTAGTTTCAGAATGGATGCCTCGTTCGGCAGTGATTTTCTCGACGAGATACTCAACAAATCTTACGAATTACAGTATCTCGATTTTTTGGATGATGATTTTGCTGAGTTTGACGAATTCCAGGTTTCAATCAGTGTGCATGAAAACTGTGCGATACAGCAAAACGCGTGCGCAATTAACAACGACTTTGATTACGTAGGATGGGATGCAGCATGCGCCGTCGTGGGAGTCGTTCAAGAAACAAGAGATCGGCAAGCTTCGTCAGTCGACAACAACATACAAGTGCCCGCGGAGAGGTGCGCGGCGAATATACGAGAGAGACGGCGCATGTTAAGTTTGAGCAAAGCGTTTGAAAAACTTCGCATTCATATTCCGACCTTTCCGTATGAGCGTCGGTTGTCTAAAATCGACACATTAAAACTTGCCATCGCGTACATACATCTCTTGAAGGAAGTCCTGATATCCGGCCAGTCGCCAACGGATTACCTAGACGTCTGCCGCCAAGTGGACTATACGAACAAAAGCGCCATAAAATGGAGTACAAGTGGTAAGTCTTTCCTGAAGTTCAGAGGTTTTTCGTAAAGCCATGTGTTACCAAATTTTATTTCACAAAAAAAAAACACGTGACATGCCTAAATATGGTCATGATGACATCACATCATGCCCATAATTATAATAGGCATTTTATCACTATACATTGGGCATATACAACAGTCTTTGTCAAATATAATTTGATAGTCTGGGCATAAAAATGCAACCCCGAAATAATAGACCAATAAACAGTACGGTACGATGTGATGCTGCAGCTTGATTTAGTTTATAATACTTTATAAAGTTACCCTACTGATCACACTCTACACATAAGCATGCTTACATAACAATAACAATAATAATAATAATAATAAGAAGAAGAAGAAGAAGAAGAAGAAGAAGAAGAAAAAGAAGAAGAAGAAGAAGAAGAAGAAGAAGAAGAAGAAGATGAATACAGGGCCATAGCCACCGGTACGGTTGGTCAGGTTTCAACCTGACCACAAGTTAATTGATTAGGTTTTGAATAGGAAAAATGCTAAATTCCACCTGTATGTTTAGACTCAACCTACTCCCTCTTGACATATAACTCAAGAACCACAAGTATGTGAACTGAGTGTCGAACGGTTAATGATAGTTTGTATTATTTTCTTCTCTTTAATGTAAGATTTATAATGATTAAGAAACTAGGATGCATTTTTTCTTCAGTTGAAATTCAGTGTCTATGTGGGCTTAGCTTTTTTATCCAAATCAGTAGTAGGTCAATTACTACACACACTGAGCTTTTGCAGAAATTCATTTCCTCACTAAATTACCTAGTGAACTGACAAGAAAAAAGCATGACCACAACATAACATAAGTCCTCTCTTTTAACTCTTAAACTTCTAAACTTTGCGAAGCTCAAATTTACACTTCCTTAAATCATAAACCTATAAGGAAGTTCACTCGTTAAATTAGTAGGTCTATAGATAGTACAGAGAATATTTATTGATAGTCAATCTCAGATAGGCCCTATCAAAATTTTAGGAAATTACGTTTTATGCATGCACCGACGTAAGAACTTTAACCTAATAATTTTGATGTATGTTTTATGTTATTTGTTAAATATACTTCTTTAATAATAATATTAGTTTAATATGACCACAACATAAGGAAGTCCACTCTGTAAATGTTTAGAATAATATAGTACAGAGATTTCCGTTTGTTTATTATTATCATTATACACATATGTTAGATCCAAATTGTATATGTTTTATTTTATGTGTTGATTGATCTTAGTAATATTACAGTTCAGAATTCATATTATGAAAACAACTTGGTCATAATATAACTTAGGAAGCAGAATAATGCATTCAACAGTTGTACTCTGACCATCCAAAACCAAGCTTGGTTGGTGTGCTTTTACATCCACCAGGAAATTAATTAAATATGCATAATTGTCTTTTGTGGTTTTAAAATAACAAAATATAATAAAATGATATATGCCTTCCAATAAGGTTATAAAAGAATCAACACACATGTATATTCTCCCTGTGATTTTCTTTTGATTAACCATACATCGTGACATATAAATCGAAAATTAAAAAACCCCAACGGTACATTGCGCAACCGATTTAATTACAGTCCTTTTTAATTAATAGTTAGACAATACCAAAGTGTATTGCATTTTTGTCCATATTTTTGTCTTTAGTGAAGTTAGGTGGCATTTGTGACAGAAAGAGTTGTAATTTGCCAGACAACTAGGCATTACAATCACTTTATATTTTATCTCTTGTTCGTCATGGCGAACGGTGCGAAGGTCTGGATCTGCGCCTGCATGTATTGATTGAAAGTGTACCATATAGCAATATTATATTTTGTTCGTAGGTCTAATCTTAGATTTTTGCCAGTGTCAAAAGGCAATATACAAAAATACCAACAATGCTGTGAGTAACAAGCTTTATCTTGAATAAACCTGTTTTAAATTCAAAGTATTTTTTTTATATATATAAAAATAATTAAACTATGTATAAGATAACTACTACAGAACATTAAAATGGGTGTATACAATGGAAAAATAGCAAATCTTTCCCCCTGACCCCAGACCAACAACAGACCAATCTGCATCAAGTCCCACCCAATCGAGGTCTATCCAGGGAGTTGTTATTTACTCCATGGTCTATCCAACGCTATCCCGCTTAAGAACCACACTATCACGTATAAATGTAATAGGCCTATTGCCTATTATATTAAGATAATTATGTGTACCGTAAATAAGTGCCCCTCTCGAATAAGCGCCGCTCTTAAATAAGCGCCTGATTTTTTTTTTTAGTATACTGCTATTTATAGCAGGATACTCTATGCCGTGGTCGATCGAAAAGTGATGTCATATCCGTAAGGTCAAGTTGTAAGCTTGGATTCAGGTCCTCGGGTCTCGTCGTACAGTAAAGTGTAGTAAACACTTTGGTATGAAGAGATGAGCTAAGGTTCAAGAAACACATAAATCCCTAGACCCAGGCCCGTAGCCAGCTTCAGCCAAGGGAGGTTCAGGGCGTGGAGTACAGAGGCCTGCCGAAGGGCCGGAAGCCGGAGCTTTTTTGCACTTTTAAAGCGTGTATTATGGCATATATTTAAATACTTTTGCAGTTTCAAATGAAATACATTTTTGTAATCCAATGCAAGAGAGTAAGATTTAATTTGATTTTATTTTAAATAACCCCATTATTCACTTATAGATTCTTATCACAAATTTCGTTCCAGATATTTGGTGTAAGATACTTTGTATTGTTGTAAATAAATGTTCTAATTGAAGAAAAATGCATTATTTACTTTTTGACAGTTGTGCTCAACAGCCCTGTTCCATTGACCATTTGAGCAAAATATAACTCCTAAATAGACATGACGGAGTAACTTCCATTTGAGTGTTTTTATAATACAATTTTTCAATTTGTCTCCTTTTTTAAATACCATTATATTTGATTTATTTAAATTTACAGAGACCACCCATGAATCACAAAAAGTTCAAGTTTATTTTAAAGATTCTGTAGACTCTTTACTGTATCGCCAATTAAAAGCAAATTATCTGCATAAGGAATATAGTTATTAAAGATAATGACTTCCGATTTGTATTTTATTACTATTTTTGCTTTGATTAAGATCAAAACTTAAACATCATTCATAAAAATGTTAAAAAGTAAAGCAGATAAAGGTGATCATTGTTGTATACCGATGTAGTATTCAAATGGAAGTGTTAGCATATTATTTATTTTAACATGAGCAGTTAATTGCTTGTACAGAGAATGAATAATATACATCTTACCGTTTCCTTCTATTCTTTTTAACTTAAGTAAAAGAAAATCATGATTAATGCTGTCAAAAGCACGTTCCAGATCAACAAGCAACAAAATAGTCTTCCTCTTTTTTTACTTAGATATTTAGATATAATGCTATTAAAAATAAAAATATTGTCAAGTATGGAAAGCACTCCCCGGAAGCCGGCATGCTCTTGAATTATATTATTACTCTCTGCAAACTGTGTTAGTCTCACATTAAGAATACTCATAAAATTTGAATGATTGGAATTAGAGAAAAGCCTCTATAGTTTTATGAGTTTTTTTCTGTCACCTTTTTTGTATATTGGGGTTATGATACTTGTAGTTCATTGTGCTGGGAAATGCCCAATTTAGTATGCTAAGTTAAACAATAGTTTTAAATGGGCTAACATAAAATATGGTGCATTAATTAAAAACTCAATCGTCATCCCATCGATTCCTGGTGATTTACCTGCCTTTGTGATTTTATTGCCTTTTTTATTTCACCTAAAGTAAAATTTAAATTGATATATTTATCTTCAAAATAAGATAATGATCTACCTCATGGATAACTTGATGTTGTGGTAGTGGTTCAAAGAGAGATTTAAAATGTTTTTGTCACTTGTCCAAAGGTGTATACTCGGTTGTTAGACTTTCTTTTTTGTCTTTCAATTTTGCCCAGAATTGTTTACCGTTGTTGTTATTTATAGCTCTAATAATTAGATTTCGTTTATCATTTTTATTGTTCTTTCATAGTCCCTCTTTAAATTTAAATAATAATAAAAATAAATTGTGTTGTGCTTTATTTCTTAATGCATTATTAAGAATTTTTTTTCATTTCACGTTTTAAATTTAAGCATTCTTCGTCAAACCAGTTGTTATTTTTGTTAATGTTGTTTTCTTTAATTTTGTTATTTATTCGTGATGCTGTATACGGTATATCACTGAAAGTGTATTCAAAAGTTTCCTGGAGACATGAAACCGCTTCATTAATATCGTTCCTTGTAATAGTACTCATAAAATGATTATCAACTTTTTCAATTGTTCATGCTCACAACGTTCTCCAAATTTGTTCACATAATTTTCTTTCCACTTAATACTTTTGTATCCGTTTTGATTCGTTAAACGTAACATTATTAATAGTATGAATATGATCGTATTTTATCTTAAAATGTATTGGCTTGTGATCTGATTCCACACGTGTATTTATCTTTAAGGATTTTTAAGTTATGGAGCTAGGAGATAATCGCAAACGCCATTTCCTTGCCGACCCACAAATGTGTAATGATTTGACTTTTATAATCTCCCATTTGTTATACACATTCCCGTTTCTTTACAGAAATCAAGGATTTCGGTACCGTATTTATTTGTAATTTTACCAGGCCTTTTTTATTTTTATCTATATTAAATAAATCATTGCAGTAAATTCGGTTATTACCGTTACTAATGTAGTCTTTTTGTAGGCCTACCTGTTCTCCCATTTAAATCACCTACAATGAATATAGGACATTTATGTGAAGTTTCAAATTGTACAAGTTTACTAGAAAGATTCACAAAAAAATATTAATTGCGTATGGAGACCCCATTGGGGGTCTATATACAAATGCTATTATTATGTTTCTTAATTTTGTATTTGACAAATGTATCCAAACCACATTATCCGATCTGCTTGGTAGTATTTATTTACAGTAGAACATTTTCATATTTTTTTGCTTGCAGATTTGGTGGCCCGTTTATCTTGGATTAAATGGAATTGAAGAGTCAATCAGCCGCAATTGTAATGTATTCTAATGACAAAAAAGACATATTTTCAAACCGAGCTGATGATTGCCACTTTCATCATGCAACTCTATGAACCGTACTGTGTAGGCCTAAGGATTCGAACCCAGCACCTGGGATTGGACGGCGGGCAACTTAATCAGAAATACAGCTCCATTCCAATTTACAGCGTCAGCCGATGTATTGTAGTGCAGACGCGACGCTATCCCGATCACAACTCGGCGATGTGTTAAATAAGCGAAGGGCCGAGCAGTTAAGGCAGGGGAACCGCAATCTAGAGTACAGCCAAAATATCAACTGGAACAAGTCTTCTCGGATAAAGAACTGTAATCTGTAGGCCCAGTGTACACAATTGTCTCATGATGTGCACTTCAAAGAAGCGAATGGCTGAGAGGAAGGAGCACTACAACCTAGATACAGCTATAATATCGGTGTTAGTTCGAATTAACGGTACTCTCGCCTATAATGGTTCTGGTGGTGGAACAAGTCTTCTAGGATAAGGACAATTAAACCGTATGCATGCCCAGTGTACACAATTAGCCCATGCGCACTTCCAAGAACGCAGTGCATCTTTTGAGACGTGTAGGGGGTTACCCCGGTGTACTGGTTCATAAAGCCCCTGTTACCATGCCGTTATGGACCATTAGGTCATCTGCAGGATATACCTACGTAAACGCAAACGAAGTGTGGAGTGAAACTTTGAAAAACGTTTAGAATCTCCCTATTCTAGTGTAGCGAATTGAATTGCATTTGTTGTAAGGTACTAATGTAATAAATATAAACAGGCATCCTTGAAGGGCTGAAATGCAAGTTTCTATAGGGCACCGTCTTTCGGATGAGACATTTATACCGTTGGTCCCGTGTACAATATGGCCCATGTGCACGTAACGCAGTACTTTGGAAAATGTATGGTGCACTGCCGAATACATTACCACTGGAAATAATTAGGATTTTCAAAGGTTATCCTTAGTGTTTCACACCGAAGAAATTCAATTCAAGCCCCTTCCTATTCCAGTATAGCTAATAAATTGTGATTATAATAATATACTAACGTAATAAATACAAGATAAGCCATGATAAAAGGATTTGAATTCTAATTTAAGGCACTATCATGACACATAAAGTTATACTGTACATCTGTCAATCAAGGTGACAATTAAAGTAAGTCACTGAACACAGGAAATTGACATTAAAAGACAAAAGTACATAGGCCTAGATAAATAATATAAGGTATATATACGGAATATATATATATATATATACTGTCTCTTATACACATCTAGATGTGTATAAGAGACAGTCACNNNNAGGCGCTTTCATGACACTAGGCCTTGATAATTATAATTTACATTTAATTAACAACATATGAATACTTAACATTTCTAAATAGACTGGCTATCAGTGAACATCAAAAAACGGTACAGATAACCACCCCTGTTTAAAACGCCTGTCCACAATAATGAACAGTTGTATACTACCAAACGTTTTACATAGTTTTCCACCATTAAATTTACATTGACCGACAAAAAACTTTCAATAAATGTTCACAATATATTATTTAATAAGCATGTAAGGAATGAATATGAAATACGTACAGAAAAATACTTAAATCTAAGTATATATGCGAAACAACTTCGAGACTAGCTTCGTTAACTGTTGTAAATAGCTATGCCGCATTATCTGGCTTGGTGTGCTGTTGACAGGTTTTTTTTAACCAATGAGGATGAGTTTTATTTGAAAAGAACCTGTGTATGTTTAGCTTTCTTTATCTGACTTTTATATGAAAAGAACCTGTGTATGTTTAGCTTTCTTTATCCGACGGGAACAAATACGTTTTTTTTTATAGGCCAAGAACCGTAATGGCAATTTGAAACCAACCGAAGCTGTAAAAATGCCACAAAAATGTCTCTTAACACTGGTAGCGGAAGGCATAGTGCATTTCAAAAAGAGAAAGGGGCCCCGGCCCCCTGGGGCTGAGGTAAGAACATTTGTGATTATGGCACCTCTAAACGACCGGAAATTGCACTTGCAGACATAACATTTTATTATAATTATCTTTATATCTCCATTTTTTTATTGAACAATTTGTGGGGGGGGGGGCGGCTGGGTCCCCTTGAATCCGCCACTGGGTACTTCACCAAATGGAGAATCTATACCACATCAGCCACACCATGGTTGGGGCTGAGGTAAAAAAAATTGTGATTATGGCACCTCTAAATTACCGGAAATCACACCCTAATACTTAAAATTTGAGTATAATTTTCCTTATATCTCCATAAAAAAAATGAACAATTTAGCCCCCACCCCCATTTAGCCCCCCCCCCCCCCCCTCCTTGAACGCGCCACAGATTTCCGAACAAAGTCGAAGTCGAGATTGCTTCCACGACCTCAATGAATTATCTATCATGAGGAAGGTTATCCACTTTTCAACCGATGGATAAAAATTACCCTTCTATGAAGCCCGGAAATGATACTCCAACTGTGGCAGGTCCAGGAAGTCGAAATAGAGGGGTCCCAGGGAGGGTCTTGCGCAAATAGAATCTCCACCCAACAGTTGTGGGGCTGAGCTAAGAAAAAATTATGATTTTAGGGGCACCTCTAGATGGCCGGAAATGACACTCTCAGATTGAAATTTAAATACAATTTTTGTCTGTTTTCTCTATTTTCTTTTTTTTTTAAATTTTGAAAAAATAGGAGGATGGGGGTCCGTGGTGACACTTAGTTCCCTCTTGAATCTGCCACTGTTCAATGTAACACTTGACACAGCCTATCATGTTGTTTCACAATAATGATTAATTCCTAATGTCAAGCGAAAGATTTTTTATTCGAAAAATTGTTTTTATTCAATACAGTTTTTACATCCTATAACTTATTAACTACAGTGTACTGCAAATACTGTAGTTAACCTTCAGAGAACTTTATTTTTAAAAATTGCCAAATTAAGTATCTTATTGTTTTCGTTAAATTAGATGGAGTTTAAATGTAGTTTGAAGGTTTACTGTAAGCCAACCAGTTACACTTACGATATACAGCTTCGTGGTTAGCATAAAAAAAACTAGAGCGTCGCTCCATTAGGAGTGCCTACCTTCCCCCTTATGCCTAAATACAGAATTCACGAAGGCAGGCGATTTTTTCTTCATGGGTGGGTTTCAAGTCAACTTTACAGACGCGCATATACATACGTTAATCAACATTTGGTTGCTCAACTCAAAAAGGGAACTTGTAATGTTGGTTAGAAAATTAAAAAAAATATATATTTTATAATAATAATAATAATAATAATAATAATAATAATAATAATAACAATAATAATAATAATAGGTCAATCTATAAGACGAAAATAAACAAGGTGTAAGCACCAAATTATAATAATAATAATAATAATAATAATAATAATAATAATAATAATAATAATAATAATAATAATAATAATAATAACATTGCAGCGTTTGTAAAATGTTTGTCACTGGTGCTGGGAACAGTCACAAAAGTGGTGGACCAAGCCCCCACCCCAGTAGAAAATGTAGGTCTACCAATGGCCCCTGCTTCCGCCGCCGTTGAAAGTAACAAAGGGGTTTTTTAAAGAATGAAATTATAGAAAACATATTACCAATCAGAAAAGAATTTTCTTTCAAATTCCGAAGGGAACAAAGAAATCCATCAAGAATTACCTGAGATATGACTGTGAACAGATAAAAATGACCGGTTTCAGAGAAATCTCTTATTACATGAAGGTCACGCTGTTAAAACGAAAATGTTACACCATGAATTCATTCATATAATATAGAATAAGGCAAAATACTGCAAACAATAATGCTGTGGGAAACAATGGACGTATTCGACTTAGTAAAATCCTACTTAACGAAGACGACCAGTCCAAATAGAAAACTGGTAAATACCTGACAAAACAAAATGACTGCACATAGTTACCGCGATATACGCTGTGTAAGTTTTTTTTGGCTTGTGGCAGTATGGGTTTTTGGTTTAAAAAAAATGTTTTCATCCAGTTTTTGAATTCTGATGGACTACAATTATTTTTTTGCTTCATGTGTGTGAATATTATAATTTTTATTTTTTGAAATTTAATCTAAATTTTATAAGGCAATTGTTGTTCATAAAGTGACCAATCAGCCATGTTTGTTTTGGTCACGTGGATAAAACGCTGATTAACGCACTCTGGTTTACGTTAATTTTATTAGTCAACGAAGTGAACCAGTCGAGTAAGCCCAAATGTTTAGATCTCGATAGAGATTCAAAATTAATAAACAACAGCTAAAAAGTAAACGTTAAACAGCCAGAAATTGAAACTGGTCCTTCCTCAAATTCAAATCCAACTTTATTACTTTATTGCAATCACTGAATTTACAATTTGATTGGATGAATCAATTCACAGTCCTAGGGTAGATACATTCAAAATACAGTATAAGAAGAAAAGAAGATAAACACCAAGATAAGTCGAAAAGCATCAAAAATTTATATCAAGAAATTAAGAAATCTATTAACATGATTATAAAAAAATAAGTTGGTACGGCTGGAAACAAATAGTTCTTTATTCATTTATTTATAGGACAACATTCGTTGAGAGGTATGCTATACGATGCATCATGTCCTTTATTCGAACACAATATTTACCTTTCTTTGATGATTTATATATAATTGAACAGTGTTAACGACTGTCTTGATTTATATATATACATACAA